AAAAAAACAAGCTTGTCAATATTTGGGTTTCTTTGAAAATTATACTTGCATTTCACCTCATTTTGTAAACTTTTAATGTAGCTGCAGCTGGTAAAAAGCACAGTTGGTTACTGCTAAGATGAAGTTTTACCCTTCAAGATATTAGTTTCAGCCTCTCTTAAATCCTTGACTGCTAAATACCTATAAGTGTTGTCCCTTTGAAAGTTTTTCATAAAGTAAGGTCTTTATTTTCCTTCTTGTGTATATTCCCAGGATAATTAACCAGTGTTATTCTTAAGAGGAAATCCTAAATTAATTTCCTGGCGTAAGGCATCCAATACTAACAGTTATTTTCACAGTAGTTGGATGTATAGTAAGATGGCACTTTTTCAATTTTGACATGTTTGTTACATTTCTTTGAAAGTTCATAGCAGTAATACTGCAGAGGATTTACCCATAGCAACTAGCAGTACTCACATGACTTGTCTTTCTCATTCCAACATTGAGGAGTCTGTAACCATCCATGAAGATATCACCTGGCCTACCATTGGAAGGTACCCACTGTCAACATTCTTACGTAACATGCAGTGTTACAGCCATGCCTGTTATAGGAAGTATAAATGTGACCTCAATAGAATGACTATGAACAAAGGCAACTGGTATGAAATCAACATGACTTTCTTGGCCACATGTTATGCAAAGACTGAGAATAAATGAACAATATTGAAAATTCTACATGAAAATTATAAGGTAGAAAATGCACGGTATTCCTGCATACCACAAACTTGTAAATATTCATTCCCAGAAAAAAATAAAGACAATATTCTGTTTTACAGTACATATGTAATGTAACCTGGTATGCTAATAAATGTGCTCTACTTTTTGCAAAAAGATATGAAGTTACATTATGATAATGTGCTACAGTGTATTTACTAAAAATGGTGATATATGGAATATACAGTGATAACTTTGAGTAAACAGTCTTGCCTCTCTCACAAATGGCTTGTATAAAAAATTTTGATTCTTATCTGTAACTAAGCCTCCGTAGAACTTAAATCCTGTTGGCACATCTTAGAAGGTGGTAAGATTGACATAACTACATAAACTGTAGATATGTATAATGTCTTTTGATTGATTTTCACAGCACATCTTAGAAGGTGGTAAGATTTACATAACTACATATACTGTAGATATGTATAATGTCTTTTGATTGATTTTCACAGCACATCTTAGAAGGTGGTAAGATTGACATAACTACATAAACTGTAGATATGTATAATGTCTTTTGATTGATTTTCACAGCACATCTTATCTTATCTACATATCTTACATTATCTACATATACTGTAGATATGTATAATGTCTTTTGATTGATTTTCACAGCACATCTTGAAAACCATTTGGTATAATTTATTTTGAAAACCTTCTGGCTCATGTATTGTTGTGCACACAGCCAAAATAAAACTGATAATTAATTTTACTTTTGACGTATGAACTAATGGGCTTAAACCAAGGTGTGGATAAATAAAAACATAAAGATGAGAAGTACCAGGATGAAGTAGGTACTAACTACAATAGTGTCTTGATTGTATCTTACTTTTGTTGTTTAGATAATGTTTGTAGCTGGTTTTTCAGGTTCTTTCTGCAAATAAAATTTCCTTGTGTTTATTTAAGCTCTGCCATTCTATATCATAGTGAAGGCACTTTCACATTAAATCAGCAAATGCATTTACTTCCATCCCATGTTACACCCCCCAAACACAAGTAGAGAACTATGTATGAATATTTATAAAAACAAATTATTCATAGTAATGGTACACAGTGAAATTGGTAGCAAAGTTGTGATGGCAAAGATAGCTTGGAGAGCAAACAACTGTAACAACCTCCACAACTGAGTAGACAAAATAATTTTTAAACTTTATTACACCTTTATATTTCACCAATTTTTCTTTTTTGAACAAGTTATGGGTTGCAATTTCTGAAACATGTTTATTATCAGTTGCTTGCTATGATAACTCGTAAAGATGTGGATACATCTGTTTTGGGTTAGTTCAGGATTGCAGAACTACCAAAATTTTTGGGAACACAGACTACTAACCTTCTGAACTCGTTACTCACTGTTTCTTATTAAGATCTTTGGTTTACCACATGCATATAGGTACTCCAACTTTGCAAATTGGGCCCCAAATTATTAAAACAGTATCTATGCTGAAGAACAGCAATAGTACCAACAATCATCATATGATAACATTGTTTTTATTTACCTCATTTAAAGTTTTACATTTTTTTGGATGGCAGCTAAAATATGTGCGTACATAATTAATTGTATAATGATAATGTGTATTGTCTTTGATTTGTCTAATCCAGCTAAACATTTTTTGTACCCGTGATTTCTGGCCCACCAGTAAGTCAATGGGGCTTTTAATGCTAAAAATCGGGTTTCAATACCCACGGTGGGTAGAGTACAGATAGCCCATTCTGTAGCTTTTTGCTTTTAATGAACAAACCATGATATCTGAAAGTGTGTTTATGTATAATTAACTCTATAATAATGTCAGGCCCTCATGTTTTGTTAGTAAAATAAAATTAAAATTTTGTTGACAACAATTTGAAACCATGTTTCATGAAATTCTTACTAACATAGGAAAAATAATTAATATGCATTTATTATGTGGAATTTTTTTTTATTATGCAACCCTTACCTAAAGTAAAAAACAACAAAAAAACGTTAAAACAATAACTTTTAAAAGAATATGATTTATGCAATCCATCATCAATGGCAATTTAACACTTATTTTGCATTTAATAATAAGAACAAATACACTTTTAAACTTCAGAAGTTTTTAGACAGCCATTAATCAGACTGGTCAGCAGGCACCACTTACCCAGTAACAAGAAACAAACTAAGTCAAAAGTTATAAGTCCAGAAATTCAGACTGATTATGCAGTCATGTAAATTATACAAAAAATGCTGTGGTTGTATAATTGCATTAATCTTGGGGTTGTGTTATGTTTCTGGGTTTCAAACAGTTTAGTCTAATTTAGTTGCACATTTATTACTAACAACTGTGTATCACATGTCTGTAGATATTTAAGTCTCAATCATGTAATTTAGTTGAAATTATGAAAATACAAAAATATATTCCTTGGTAATGAATTTACACTTTTCTATTGGATTTTTTCTGAAAAAAAGTTTCTAGTTCTAAAAAGGTAAAATGATATTTATATAAATATAATAGTACTGTCTGTTGTGTATCCATGTAACTACTTCACAGGGTGTGGATGGACTTTCACCAAAATTGGTATGAAGGCTCATTAAGTCCTTGCGGAGGTACATACAAATTTTCAGTTTTGCATTTTGCAGTTTTGATGGGTGTTTTCCTACTACTTTGCCCCCTGTAGATAGATGTTTACCAAATCTGGCATAAATGTTTGTTGGGTCCATTTGGAGATACATGCAAATTTGCAGATTTTGTTTTGCATTTTTTATGGGCATTTTTTTTTACAATTACATATAAAGGAAGCAATTTTTCATGCCCTAAGATAGCTTTTCATTAAACATGAATTTACATATCTTCTTTCCAGAGGATGGGTAATTCAGCTAGTTAGTTAATATTTTATTAAACTTGTTCTATTACATAAACATCTATTAGCCTGAACATTGGAGATACAAGAAGCCTTTTAAATGGGACAGTACTAAATGTGAGGCCCGGCATGGCCAGGTGGTTAGGGTGCTCGACTCATAATCTGAGGGTTGCGGGTTCGAATCCCCCATCCCACCAAACATGCTCGCCCTTTCAGCCGTGGGGGCGTTATAATATGACGGTCAATCTCACTATTTGTTGGTAAAAGAGTAGCCCAAGAGTTGTAGGTGATGACTAGCTGCCTTCCCTCTAGTCTTACACTGCTAAATTAGGGACGGCTAGTGCAGATAGCCCTTGTGTAGCTTTGCGCAAAATTCAAAAACAAACAAACAAACTAAATGTGAATATATCTGGTTAATTTTGGCTTAAATTTCTTAAGTGCTCAGTCATAATATTTTAATAATGTGTTTCTTCAAAATTTAAGGTTTTGCCTTAATCATATTCTGCATATATCCATACACTACAAGCATAATTTACTTGCTGTTAGCTGAAAATTTTTCAGCATATCTCAGTACAGTGACTTGAAAGGGTTATTATACTTTCTGTTGCAGAATCTCTTTATTTAGTTGTCTGTCTCCAACATACTGGACAACTTTATTGAAAAACATTTTAGCATGAAAAAACTTTCAACAAAGAAAAGCCAATATAGGTTTCACCAGTGTTTATGTTTACATGCAGTTCTGTCTTTGGGAGGTATTTGAAATACAATTATAAGGTGTTAGAGGGACAATATCTGCTATCATGCAAGTGTTAATATATGTCTAGTCAGTTTGCAATCTTTTGCTGATTTGTTGTTTAGTATAAGATTGTGATATTTTCTTTGGTATAATAATACCAAATTTTCATCACTTTTCATCTTTCTACTTATTAAATTAAGGACGATGCAGAATATACTTTTATATGCAATGTACCAGTTAACTTCCTTGTTCAGTAGGTATATGTCAGGTGCATGTACTTTAATGTATGTTCCTGGAACATATTTTTGTGTATGAATTCATGATTAGGTAGGGAAGATTGCATTTTTGTATCTTCATCTGTATGTTCAGCTGAAATGTGAGCATGATTAATGTTAGGTTATATATATTGTGTGTGTAGTGTGTAAATGAGCACTTATATGAAATATAACTTGTTCAACAAATGTTCCTTTCATAGAATAATGTTCATCCTTATAGGAGATATGGATATTGCTACACATTTTTTTACAATACACTTGGTGCATTCTGCAGTTTTTCTTTTGTAGAAGTGCCTTAAATGCAATTTCTTATGTACCTGTTACGGAAAATGTACTAAGTATTTATCGATTTTACTGTACTCTGCACTTGTATACTAACGTTTTTCTAAAATAGGATAATTTACTTCTTTTTTTTTCTTTATCAGAAACTGCCCTTTTGATGTTCCTGCTTTGAAAGTATGGGATTCAGTCACAGAAAAGCAGCAAGAGAAAGCTCAAGGAACAGAAGACCAGGCTGACAAATTACACGCTTTAAGACAGAGACACACGTATTTCCAACAATATGGCGGTTCGTTAGACTTGCACACAGGACTTGCTTCATCTAAGTCGCGGCACCCGCTTGCACGAAGTGGACGAGACCAGCATGTTCGCATGAGAAGACTTCGTCCTCGTCAAGTACTTTGTTCTCACTGCCGCTCAATATGCAATGAAAATTCGGAAAATGTACAGAATGGTAGGGGACGGTTGCCAGAAGCCAATAAATCTAGCGTGGTGACCTCCAGTAGTGGAATAAGTAGTTCTAATGTCTTACCTAGCCCTAATACTCATAAACGTAGCAGTGTTTCTACATATAATATTGGTAAGGCTGTGGTGAATTTCAATCCTCACAATAACAATGAATTTAGTAATGCTGGAAAGGGTCGTCTGTCAAACAGAACTGTTCTTAAAAACGAAGGGGGGCAGGTGAAAAATGTAGATAGCGTAAAATTAAACATTTCAAGAGCATCTACATCATCCAGTGAGTGTAATCATACACTAGAGACAAATCAAAATCCAACATGGCGTAACGAGGATCCCGCAATCTCGACCTCCGAGTTTCAGTACCAAGCTGTTACCTCCACAGACCTGTCTGGGCGCATGATTTTGCGTAAAAGAAAGTCCGGTGATGGCATAGAAAACACCGAAGACCCTGAGATTCACAGAGGTGGGAAGAAACATCGCCGTGTAGAAGAAATCGATGCTGAGGGTATAATGGCCAGTAAAGACGAAATATGTACTCCAAGCAACTCAAGTAATGTAGAGAATTGTGATGTTGCTATAAAACTGAAATCAACTCTAGCTAAAACAAGTCCTGTCATAAAAATTTCTTTTGCTAATCCCCAAGGAAAAGATATGGTGCTCAAAATTCCTGCTCGACCGCCTTCCACTCCAGTTGCAGAAGCTGGAAGTGATACTGAAGGTAGCTGGGCAAGTAAGGACAGTCCTGACCGCAAAATGCTTTCCCTAAAAGATGATGCTAGTACCAAGGCTGCAAGAAAAGCTCTGAAAAAAGCTAAAAAAGAAGCTCAACGTAAAGCAAATTTCTCCTCTTTAAGTCCTAATACTTATAATGGTGACTCCAATCTTCACAAACACAGAAGTGGGCATCATCATAAGCATAAATTAAAAAGAAAACGAAGGCACAAAGACTTATTGCACACCAATGATAAAGGTGAAGAGAATGAATATATTAACGAAAATGGTGTTATGAATTATCATGGTGCCATTGAAGATGGTATTAGAAAAAAGCTGACCAGTCGGTCGTTCCATAACCAAAGTCACATTTTAAAATCGGAGCCAGAACCTCCGGGTATTTACTATGAAGATGTTAAAAATCAGTGTTTGAGACAGAAGTTATCCATTAACCTGAAACGCCTAAATGCTAAGGCTTATATGCGATGTAGCCCCAAATATTGTGAGGCGCCTGACGAAGATTCAAATGGCAGCGCTGGAGGAAATGCTACATGGTCTGGTTCAGGAAGTGAGAATGGGGACGTCCCGGATTTCCCAAAGCATGCAACTTCCCCTTTTCGTAAAATGGACCACCTTAAACCCTTAATGATGAGGATTAGTACTCATAGCGTAAGTAAATGCGTACTAGAGAGTGGCAGAGAAATGATGATAGGGGACATTGTTTGGGGTAAAATTCACGGTTTTCCGTGGTGGCCTGGAAAAGTTTTGGCTCTCACAGTATCACAGAGAGACAACGGAGTAACTATAAGTCAGCAAGCTCACGTTTCTTGGTTTGGGTCACCCACTTCGTCCTTCATGCCCTGTAACCAATTGACCCCCTTCATAGATGACTTCAAGGCGCGTTACAATAAAAAGAAAAGGGGTCCTTACAGGGAGGCTATTCGCCAGGCTACTCTAGAGGCCCACCAGTGTGTGTCTGGCTCTCGTCTCCCACCATCTGAAGTTGGGCCTCTTCTTCCAGTGCAATAGAAACTACAAGCATTAAGCTACGTTTCTTAGAACGACAATTATATCAGACTATGAAAAATTCATACTTAAAAATAAATAGTTTTCTATTTACGCTGTTGCACAAGAATACAGTAAGGTGTTACGTTTAACAGGGTATATGTAATCACACATACAGATCAGATTTTATTTTGAAGTGTTCACGTTTCAGAAAACAGGTAGGCAGTCATGAATTATATACAACCAGTGAACCAAGTGAGTGACTATTATTAGTAGAGAAGGAATGTGTTGCACTAATTGACTAAAGTTTCCAAAACAGATCACATGCGTGCCCTTTTTTTATGGTTTTATTGTAAATTGTTACGCAGCTCTTCCATCATAATGTTGTGGGTGAAGTACTCAGTGTTTCGATAATGTAGTTCAGTTTTACACGGACAGTAATGTAAATAATCTGTAAAATATTTGTAATTCTTCCTGACTTTTTGATGTTACGTTTATTTATTAAACGAGAGTTCCATATCCAAGAATGAGTAGCCTTTCCTGTATAAATATCTGAGCAGTTGCCATAAATCACATCACTAAATAAATAGCACAAGCCATCAACAGAAGGGATAGTTTGTGGAAAGTTATAGCGCTATTTAAAATATTATTTATAATAGAAGACAACTAAGAAAATAATGGTCTATTTGAATTAAAAGCAGGCAACAAATGTGCGTCCGTATAATTGGTAACACATAACTAACGTGTTTGTGTAATAGACGTAGAAAATATAAGTGATGAAATTTTTCTTCCTATATGTTAAATTCTTGCATATATTAATATGCCTTGAAAATTTAGAGCTATCATGTAATAAACCAAAAATTAATGTCAATAGAGTTAAGACGTATTACATGAAATTTTATAAGTCTTGATGCCTCAGAAGACTAGATTTTTTCCGCTGGTAGTTAATAAAAAATGTGTGAATATATTGTCGTCTTGTCATGGTATGTTTGTACAAACAAATAGACTTCTGAGTATTCATGAAGTTTATATCATCTGAAAGAAATTGACGTGTTTTCAAATATGTTTATATATGTTGGCCATCAAGGATAGTCGTTGGGGGAAAAGAAGCTACGTGAATATGAACAATCACTAAACTATAAAGCTAACAAATTTAGATTTCAATAAATAAATTATTAATTCTAGCGATTTCTTTTTGGTAGATTGTTAGCAGAATGTAATCTAATGATTTAGGTATAAATTGTGCTTAAAACATTTTACACGCGTTAATAAAACCTTGTACAATTACAGTAATTTAAAATTATAATTCGTCATTCTACCTTCACATATACTGGAAATTGTATGAAAACGTTTATAAAATTTTGATCAGGATAATTCTGAGATCAGATACGTTTTATAAATCTCGTCAACATACAAATAATCTCTTATTAATAGCTTGTACGAAAAGCTTTCTTTGTTCCAGAGTTTAAATGATATCTTTGAAAACCCACAGTGAAACATTGAGTTTATATGTGCGATATTTAACATTAAATATTTTTATAAAGAGCTGTTAGTTTAAACATGCCTTTATGTAGAATCAAAAATATATGTTTGACATTTTAAAGTTTTTAATGAACATGAGCAGATCTACAGTTTGCTTCCATTTTCACCTGGCTGTAGGTGTCAGCTGAGAGTGTTAATAGAATTTGTTACCTCATTGTTGATGCAATTACATTATGGAACGTTTTCAAGGTGCGATGAACCTCTGAAGTAATATACAGTTTTGTTGTGTTGATATTCGTTTATGCTTGTACCACGTTTTCTTTGCCATCGCCTAGATTCATCGTCAAATCCATCTATTAAAATTGTATGTACTGAGTGAACTATGTTGTTAATTTTTAATTATTTGTCTTGTGGCGCCATCTAGAGGACTTATACATAATAAGTGCATATGTTTTTTGTTTTGTTTTTAAGGGTATTTGTTTGGTTTGAATTTCGCGCAAAGCTTGAGGAGGGTTATCTGCGCTAGCTGTCCCTAATTAAGCGGTGAAAGACTAGAGGGAAGGCAGCTAGTCACCACCGCCAACTCTTTAGTTACTCTTTTACCAACAAATAGTCGGATTAACCAAAACATTATAACGCCCCCTGACCGGACTTTGAAGTTGAAGTAGGAGGTAAAAATACTCGTTATTATATATATATATATATATATGTGTGTGTGTGTGTGTGTGTGATAACATATTAGTATATTGATATTCCGGAGATAGAAGAAAGTCATGTCCATTATTATTCAATTCGGCTGAAGTAATGTGTCGATTATTTAAGACCCTCGATCGCGTAAAACCGACCCAAATTTAGGAGAAAACGTCAGAGCAGAAAAACGGATTGGAGGCGCCAGACTACGAAATCATAACCCAATAATACAATCTAAAAAAGCTTCTTCTTCTGATTGCAAATATATACTCATAAGTGAAATCTGTAAAATGCCTTGCCAGGAACATAAACATAGAAAGAAAGGAGACTGCTTCGCCTGTGGTGTTTGTAGATGCTACTTACCTTTGGATTCATGCTCTAATAAAGCAAATCATATTAATTGGAAGTGAAAAAATGATACTGAAAGTGGAGAAAAAGAGTGATGAGAAGGACAAGTGCCCTGAGAGATCGAATTAGATTAGAAGAACGCAAGGTGTATGATATTGATTCTGGAGAAGATGAAAATGCTGAAGCCTCTAAAACCATTACCGCTATATTAATGCCTTGGTATTATTACCAATCGCACAGCTTTGGAATGTTTACCTATTGCAAAGTGTTACACAAAGACAGAGGGCTGTTCAAATATGCACACAAATAACTGATAAGTTACTCCAACTTTTGTATCCGACCGATCAATTTGAATTGAAGATGTATTTTATCGACAAACTACAGTCTAATGAGAAATATACGACGAAACCAAAACCTTGTGCAAGCTATCACTTGTTGGGTGCAGAAACATTTCCGTGGTTGCTCAAAGCATTTTTGCAAATTCACTCGAACGACATACATGCATAAGGATGCTCGCCTAGAATTCAATAGCCTACCAGACCAACAAAACAGCTTATACTAATTCAAAAGCACTCAATGGGAAAAGTGAAGTTTTCATCCTTGAGAAAGACGTTTGCTTCTCTGGAGTGTGGAACAGATTTGCCAAAACACAATTATACTTTCCGTGTGGACAGCCAAAGGATTGCAACAGCAATTACGTAAGGATTGACAACCACGTGTTTTCAGATATGCCAGTTTATGAACTTGGCGTACAGAGTATTGAAGACATTCACAAAGCCTTTGATAACCATGAACAGCTTGGGGTGCATACATTTTGCGATATCGTTAAGTTGCTGACAAAAAGAGGCGAAACAAAAACTGGTTCGTCAACCTACTATATTCAATTAAGATTTGTCAGTTCATTATTCGAGTCCATGAAGTCAAGATTAAGCAACACGAAGTATCCCAAAGAAATCACGGTAAATAATATTCAAGTAAGCGTCGAAAAAAATCTTACAGAGATGGAAAGAAATGTTATTTCTGACATATGAGTACACACACAAGCATTTGAGTTTATTGTCTGACGATCAGACTCATTGCTGTACGTATACATTAGGTGGACTATGTGATCAGGTTCACAACCACAGCTATTGCGTTAAGTATGGCAAATGCGTCAATTTCTTCGACACTTCGGTTAGGCCAATCTTGGTTCAGGCTGCCTCATTACTAGTGGATGATCTTGATACAACAAAGGAAGTAGAATCAATGTTAGCATACATCCCGATTCTACAAAATAGACTATGGTACATGGCTCATAGGCTTAGAACAAAAGTTCAATTTGATGCGATCAATAAAGAAGAAATGAAGATTGATTCATCAACGATGCTTATTGTGCTTGACCATAAGCAGAATATGTTACACATGAAGTATAAGAAAGATCAAGTGGAGTACTTTGGTAAAAAGGGTATGTCATTGCTTGGTTCAATGAGGATCAGATAGATGTGTGACGTACTGGATTTCAGTACGAATTCGTTGATTAGTGGCGGAAGGATACACAGGACAAGATAATGTACAGTTGCGGCTGTACTGAAAGAGATGCTACAGGATGTTCGAACAAATTGTCTTGATATGCATAGAGTGATTCTTCAAAGTGACAATGCTACGTGCTTTGCTTCACAGGGCCTGATCCCATATATATATATGTATATATCATCTCAATGCTGTAATGCAGTTTTCCACTGATGGGCACATTCTCCATGTCGGGTCTTCTTTCCACGCTGATTTCTCCAAGCGTGGACCCATGGCTGTGGTTTCGCTGGATAGAGTGTTTGTAAATCACTAGCTATTAGCCAAGCGCTGTCTCTCGTCCACTATAATTGTCCTGAAGCGGATTTGTACGGAGGCTCAAACTGGTAGAGGGAGACTGGATGCCCACTTTTCATGAATTTGGTGTTCAAAGCCTTTGTGGAAGACGGAAACGACGTAACTACGTAAATGGACATATACAAGGCCTTAACCTTTAGCGATGGGATCGCAGGCACTACCGGAAAAGTACTTGATGCAAATCTGTTGAATGGTCCAATATTAGTGATAAAGTTCAAAGCAAAATCCGGAAGCCGAAGCACACATGAGGTTCAATGAAAGGTTAATGCTGCTAAAATCATTTGCTCGTCCAATATATTCAAGGCAGAAGTTGTTGTACCGTCCAAGCTTAATGCGTGTGGAGCAAATTAATTGAATATCGAAACGAGGTTGTCATTTACACCCCCCAAGGCACCATTATTTACACCTTATCGACGTGCAAATTCTGAGTTGAATGAACAAGATCAAGTTAATATTACTGCTAAATCACTAGCTATTAGCCAAGCACTGTCTCTCGTCCACTATAATTGTCCTGAAGCGGACATAAGCAGTGTAAGAGGTGAAACTGCTACACTTTGTCCAGAAGCATTGTCAGAAGAGTGGGCATGATATCCAGGAATTACGAAAGATGAAATGTCCAGGGGGTGTGTGAAAAGTTAATTGACTTATATGAAATGGGAAAAAGAAACAAAAGTCGGAAAGCGTCCGCCGATAAAGCTAATCAGATTCTGATTACTTCAGTCCTTCTAGGAAATTGCGATATATTTCGTGTCACCCTTTCCAAGATAAAGGCATTCTTTTCTTTAACTCCAGTTAAAATGAGGGTATTGATTGATAGTGACAGTACAATTCCTACAGGCGTAGATGAAGCTGAACGTTCATATTTGAGGAAGAAATTGATGTAACTTGTGCCTCACTTATTGATTTAGATATGCAAACAGATTAACTTAGTCCTCGTGAACAACAAAATTTACATACAGCTGTATCTTTTTTCATACTTCATAGATTTCAAATCTGAAAAAAGATTCTAAATAGCAGAGTCAAGTAGTTTTTATACAACCTTCTGGGACTTAATATTTCAAAATTTGGCACGACGCCTACGGGGGTTAGTTTTCGTGACCGAGGGTCTTAAAAAACATTTGCACTTTTGTTAAACTTGGTA